GGGGCAGAGGGGGGAGGGCAGTCTTTGGTGGGGGTGTAGACATGCCTCGCTCCTCCCTAGGGTTTTCCTCTCTGAAACAACAGCCTGACGTAGTAGTGATTAATATATAACCACGGACAAGAAGTTGTTCCACGAAGTAGGTGAGATTGGGTCCTTTCTAGAGCACTTTAAATTCCAATGTCCAGGTTCTCGCATTTGGAACTGGGAAGACAAGTCCCTCACACTTCCAGGCTTCCTCTCTTTCTGAGTGACAGCCCCATCCTCCCCTCCTTAGAGGTGCCCCCACCCATGCTGACTGACCACTTCTCAAGAATGGGACCCAGAGCATTTGTGCTTCAGGCAGGGGACCCCCAGGTCCCTGGAGCCTCTCATGGACTCCGTGTGGACAAGGGACCGGGGGTGGGGGTGAGGGGTGGGGTGGTGGTGGTTGTTGAGGGAGGGCATTTTCCTGCAGCATTTCCTCCCAGCCAGTGGCTTCCACCTGCCAGCCTCAAGGCCTGCCTTTAGGCCTGCTTGTGATCATGACAGTTCCTTGAGGGGCTCAAGGCAGATTAAGACAGGAGTAATGAACATGACTGTCAGACTGTAGAGGGCTCCTCCACGACTTAAGAGAAGGGGGAGGGATTCACCAAATGGAAAAGCAGGGACTCAACTAAAAATGATTAATTCGGAGATAAGCGCCTCTCTGTCTGAAGTTCCCCGAGGAGCCCAGAAGAGTGTGTTTGACTGGAATCAGATTAGGCAGAAAGGAAAACTTTGCAGTTGTAGAAATTTACAGGTCCCTGGAGCAAGAATGTAAGAGGGGTTGCAAAGAGTTTTCAAACAGATGCCTCTCTGCATTCCCGGGTCCTGTCTGCAGCAATAGACAAAGAGGTGGAAAGGAGAAGAGTCACCGCTGACATCTGGCAATCGGTCTGGCACTCCCAGGGAGGCCTTGATGTTCTCCTGGTGAACAGAAACGCTGTCATAGAGCATCAGCACCCGACAGGGCCATGCTGACTGTGATGGGATAAGACCGCAAGGCCATTCTATAATCGTGGGGGAATATGGGCCTGGGGGAAGCAAGCCATGAACAGTATCCAAATCCCCCAAATGACTCAACATTCCCCATCCTGACTATTCACAATGGCTGCTTTTCAATCACAACTTCAGCCTCACTCTAGTCTTCCCTCCTGCTGGGTTCAATTTATTAAGAGCTGTTGGTCTCGGTTGCTGTTGATTCGGTCCCAGCTCACGGCAGCTCCAGACATGTTTGAGTAGTTTCACAAGGATTTCCAGGAAGTAGGCCATCAGGCCTGTCTCTAGTCTGGAGGCATCTGTGGGTGGGTTTGAAAGGTCAACCTCTCAATGAGTAGTCATTTGGACCACCCATTCATTGAACCAAGCTTGAAATCACCCTCCTCTCCCCATCCTCACATCCATACAAAGCACATCTCTGCTGCCTTGTATCCACCCAGAATCACCTAAACACAAGCTCAAATTCTGTGACAAGTTCTTTCTCAGCATCATATTCCTGAGATGAAGCACGGGCCCCCATGGTGTGCATTCTCTCACTGCCATGAGCAATAAACCCAACTTGTGCAACGACAACCGTGTGTTCCTGGAGGACTTTGGCAAGAGGACATTGACAGGCAATTGACGCCCCTCCTGGACCTTTCCAACACTGATCCACCCCGCCCCATCCCCAACAGAGACAGGTGGCCTGATGTTGCTGACTGCCAAAGGCCCTTCCTCTGGACCTCCCTGGAGCCTTCCCAGGGAGGAAAGAATACAGACAGCTGTTTCTACAGGCACCAGGAACAGTACCTGGCAAGAGGCAGATGCTCAATAAAACGTGTTGCATGAAGGAAGAAATTGGAATTGCAAAAACAACGGAGTTTCTGCAAGTCCTTGAAGATCTATGCTGCTTTAAGAATTTTCACCAGGAAACAAGACTTTCAACAGAGTAAGTAGCGAGGCTTCTCCTTCCACACACTCTGGTCGCATTCCGGACACTGCTCACCCCTGCAGATCTAGCCACCACTTTCCCATCATGCTCTGTATCCGAGGTGATGGCCTCCTGAACTGCATCAGCCTGGCCCCCTTTTCCCTCCGGCTTCTAGCTGGTTCAGCCAGTGGGAGTCACTAACACATCAGAAGGCAGGCGGTGAGAGCGGTCAGGACAACGGATCCCCTCACTGTGTCCCTGCAAGGACGTCCTGGATCCCCCCTACTGAAAGCACTGAACCACGAGGCCTTCCCACAGCTCTGGGAGCACCACTCCTGCCCCTTCAGGCTGGAGTGACCCTCTAGTGCTACTTCAATCCCTAGCCACACTTGATAAATCACAATCACCTTTGAATGAAATCATCTTCACAGCCTGGTTTGTGCTCTCTGGTTCCTGCTGGGATAAATCTGACCAACACAGGTTTCAAATATTACCACACACACACCTATCATCCCAACCCACTGACTAGTCTCAGAGGCGTAATGAGGACCTGGTACCCCTTGGCTGCTTGCCTGTGGTAGCACTCCAATCTAGCAGCCTGCCATCACTGTCATGGAAGATCCAGTGAACAGGGAGAGGGGACAGCAGCCACCTTTTTTAAAAGCCCAAATTCAAGAAATGGTTTGACTAGTACAAGTGTATGGGTGGGGACAATGGAAGACACATTTAAAATAGAGCCTTGGTGTAGTGGGTTACACACTGGGTTGCTAGCCTGAAGGTCATAAGTTCAAAGTCACCAGCTGCTCCCAGGGAGAAAGATGAGGCTTTCTACTCCCATAAAGAGTTACAGCCTCGGAAATCCACAGGGGCAGTTCTACCCTGTCCCGTAGGATGGCGGTGAGTCCGAGCTGACTCAACGGCAGTGAGATTTTGGTTTTCCGGGGCAGTTGGCTGTGGCCTCACCTGTGGTGGCGAGCAGATGCTGGGGGCTGCTAGGAACGTCCTTCTTCACATTGCGCAGGGTGACGATGTACCTGGTTCCGGGCAGCAAGCTGAGGATCTCATAGCTGTTCTGCTCCTTGGGCACTTGGATCTCCTTCCCGGAAAGCTCCTTCCCCAGCGGGTAGTAGCTGAGGAGGTAGTGATCCACATCACTGGACGGCTCCCAGCTCACCAGCAGGGACTCCTCGGTGCTCCTGAGCAGCTGCAGGCCCTGGGGAGTGATCACTGCAGGGAGAAGGGCGGGTGGGGACAGGCGAGGGTGGGGAGACACGGGGAGGAATTCATAGCCAGTGAGTACATATTGAACATCTATTATTCCCAGGGTGGTACAAATGGTGAGTGAGGCTGCTTACCAAAAAGCTGACAGTTCAAGCTGTCAGTTCAAGGGTTCAGGCCAGATCAGGCCTGCTGATGTACTCCTGAGAAACCAGCCATCCACAACCCACAGACTAACCCGCTACTGCTCATACGGGATCCCCAAGGGTCAGAATCAATTCTAGGGCAACTGGCAGATTCTACACATGACACTGGGATGGCGGTGGTGGAGGGCGCAGATGTAGCCTGTATGATGCCCTCCCCTCACCAGAAGTGATTCGTGATCTGACCGAGAAGCCATAGCGACCAACCCCCACACAACCGGTAGAGCCCAGAAGACCAGTGGTTCTCAAGTCCTGGTCCAGGGCCCTCAGGAGGGGTGGGGGTGGAGGAGCGGAGCGTGCAGGACGATGCTGTCGGGGCGGCAACACCTAAATGGTTGTCTATAAAATTGCTGTGCAGTGTTTCAGCAGGAATGTACTACTTTGTATAAAAATATCCCTGTCGTTAGTAATGACATCAAAAAACACATTTGTTTGTAATCCCCGTGTACATGTTATGAATCTCCCTGCAAGGCTAGAACTCTATCTATGCTCATTGATTTTTTTTTTTTTTGAGCCTTCTCAGGGGCTCTGGTCAGAGCTGTCCATGTGACCCAGTAACAATGGCATTTCCAGCGGTATGGCTTCCTCTGCTGGGCGCAAACCAGCAGGAGCTGCGGTTTTTGTTGCTGCCAGGTGTTCGTATATCATCCCTGATTTTTGACAAATTTCCTCGTGTTTGGGGTACAATATTGTAGCACTGGGCACTAGTAAACTGTGAGGGTGGAATAGTAAGAGAGGGGAAAGGAGAAAGACCCAAGCCAATGTCGTTTTAGAAGTCACACAATCTGAGATATACATATATACTTAAGCATTGTGTAACTCTACTGATCACAGTTTAGTCTATGATTCAAACCGACGGTGAGCATCACCCATGATTCTGCACGGTCTGGTCTGTGAGGAGGCCCATGGGGTGGGGGACACACGGGACACCAACTAGCCCCAGTGGCCCACTACTCCAGGCCCTTGAGAAGCTGGTTAGCAAATCCCATTGCCAGGCTCCTCCCCGGGGCGCGCGAACCGAAGCTGGGGGAGGGGGAAGCGGGGCAGGTGTTCTCACAGGCCCGCTGGGGATGGGCCAGTGGGTGGGCGAGGGCGGCCCCCCTGCCCCTCTCCGGCTGTCTGCGGGGGGGCGCAGCCCCGAGGTGCCCGGAGAGGAGGAGCGCGGCTCTCACCCTGGGCGCAGTCGAGGCCCGTGAAGCCCTCCTGGCAGTAGCACTCCCCGGTGTCGCAGAAGCCGTGGCCGCTGCAGTCACCCGGGCAGCGCCGCTCGCTGCAGTCCTCGGAGGTGAAGTCGCGGTGGCACTGGCAGACGCCGCGCACGCACACGCCGTGGCCGCTGCAGTTCTCGGGGCAGGCCGGGTGCGCGCAGTCGGGGCCCACGTAGGGCGCGTGGCACACGCAGCGCCCGTCCTCGCAGCGCCCGTGGCCGCTGCAGGCGCCGGGGCAGGCGGGCCGCTCGCACTGGGCGCCCTCCCAGCCCTGCTCGCAGTGGCAGCCGCAGGTCTCGGAGGAGAAGGTGCCATGACCGCTGCAGTGGCGGCTCTCATCTGGGGAGGGAAGGACAGACAGTAGACAAGGGGGGTGGGGGGGACTGAGGGGTTGAGAGACCAGGATGTCCAGCTCGGTGGTCTCCGGGGCAGATGCAGGGTGGCAGGGGGTCCATCCTCCCTTTCTAACTGGGGTCAGGTTGGGTGACCTGTAATCGTGACAAACTTCCTTCTGTTTCTGACCCAAAAAAGCCACCTGAGCCAATGGCCTTCCCTTTCTCGTCTCCATCCAGGCACTGGGCGGGGGTAGTTCGGATCCTATTGTTGTGCCTCCTGTGACAGCCCAAACCAAGCTGAGCCCGCGTCCATCGCGTAGATTCTGGCTCCTCGCTATCCTGTCTGTGCAACGTTTCGGGAAAGAAATCTTTGCAGGCGCAAACAGTCTCGTCTCCTTCCCCAGAGAGGCTAGTAGTGGGTTTGAACCATCAACTCTGCAGTTAACAGCCCACCAGGGAAACCCCCGCACTAGCAGGGTTCCCTGTCATTCTCTCAATGGATGGTAAATGCTCCTGCCTGGATGTGGGCTTATGGGTTAGAGGCTCAGGTCCCTGGGGAGGCAGGTGGGCAGCCAAGGCAGAGTCTGCTGCTCCAGGCCCAGAGCAAAGGTGGGGAAAGAGGTTTCATACCAACCTGAGGGAGCTACAGAATTATAGAAAAAACTCCCTGACCTGAAATCGATGCCAACTCATGGTCAGGCCAGACCCACCCTGTGGGTTTCTGTAACTCTATCGGAATGGAAAGCCTAGCCTTTCTCTTCAGGAGCGGCTGGTGGTTTCAAACTGCTAACCCTGCAGTTAGCAGTCCAATGCTTAACCACAAGGCCACCCGGGCTCCTAGAGTAGCCCCGCCTAAGCTCAATGAAGGGGTGGGGGTGGGGGCCTGATTAAGCTGGCTTCCCTCTTGGGCCCTATCCCAGAAGAGTCTGCTGTAATCCTTACCCCACCCCTCACTCCGCACCCCCTGCAAGCCTTGATCCCAGTTCCTGCTCCTCCCAACACCCTCTTTTCCTTCCCTCAAGGGCAGGGCCCACAGGTCTTATTTGTGGCAGGGCCCCAGAACCCAGTTCTTGTGTCACCATAATAATACACGCTTCTCCTGATAGCAATTCCCTGAAGTATGAACATCTATGCAAAGTAACTTCCATTATCACTCAGTGTATCACACTGGATTAAACATTGAGCAGCTAACCACAAATTCGGTGGTTCAAACCCAGCAGCCCTTCCCTAGGAGAAAGATGAGACTGTGGCTTCCATAACGATTTACTTCTCCATCCCGAGGGGTCACCATGAGTGTGAATCAACTCAATGGCAGTGGGTTTGGATGGGGTGCGAGGAGGGGACACAGTTTAGGGTTTGCTTTTTAAAGGCAGGAAGACAAGGAGAAGGCCATCACTGTTTTTAAAATCAAATGACAGTACTTCACTATTGATAAGATAGTCCCAGTTTGATGAATATTGTAGGACAGGGATCTTAAGTACATCAGCTCTAGTGCTCAGCATGATGGTGACCGTTTAGGAAACATGAAGGACTTTGTCTAAGTCCACACAGCTAAAAAGTGGTACACTGGGATCTGAGCCTAGTCTCTTCTAGCTCCACAATGTTCACTCTGTAAAGAGTTACAGGCTCGGAAACTCACAGGGGCATCCTATCCTGTAGGGTCGCTATGAGCCAGCATCGACTCGATAGCACCAGTAAGTCGACTAGCTCCAAAGACCTTGATCTTTCCCCTCCACTGCATTTCACCTCTTTTGAGGAGAGATTGACGCTGTGGGTAAAACAACCCTAAGTGTTTGTTCATCTGGAGGATTTAACCCAGACGTCTAAACCCACTTCAAAAACTGCTGGTCTCTTTCTGCCAGGGCTCCCAGAAGCCTCTAGGAAATGGTGTCAAGGAATGAATAAAGAGTGAGGCTGCAGCCCCCAGAGTGAGGTGGGAAGCTGAACCAAACTTAGCAGCAAGCTCACCAGCAGTGCCTTGGCAACAGCGCTGGACACTGCACTGCTCTTTCATCTCCACCATCTCTTCCTCCAGCGTCTTCACTCGGGCCAGCAGATCCTGGACACTGCCTGCCAGCTCACAGTCCTTCTGTGGCGTCTGGAGGCGGATATTGTGCCTAAAGATGATGTTCTGTTCCTCTCCGGCCTCCCCGGGAGCCAGGAGCGAGGTCCCATCATCGCTGAGCGGCTGAGGCTCAGCCTCCACCTGGACCAGGGCGGACTTGGGCACGTCAATCTTGTAGGTGTGGCTGACGGTCACCTGTTGCTCCTGGTTGCTGCAGCCCTGGGACGCAGGAGCGGCCGGGGCGGAGGCTGCCAGAAGCACAGAGCCAAGCAGGAGGCCCAGGGGGAAGCAGAGTGCAGCCTGGAGACCCATCCTTGGAGAAAAGGAGCAAACCCTCCAGGGGACCTGTGTTCAGAATGGGGGAGGGAAGAAAAGCCATGGAGTTTTGCTGGATGCAACTGACCTTTGTGATGCACTCCGAGTCTACCGGAAGCTGAGAAATCAGCAGAAAGAGAGCATCCTCTGTCTCCAGAGAAGCTGAGCCGAGTTATTGTCTTTTCCTTCAGTGCACATCCTGCCTCCTGTCTGTCTTACACCATTCACAAGACTGGGGAGGCCCTCTTCCTCACTGCTCCACACTCACCTACCCTTCAGTATCCACAAGAACCGCTTGTCTTGGGGGCCCACAACAACCCTGGTAGCATCCTCCCCCAGGATAATTACTACAATGACTATGCATAGAGCACTTTCTGTGTGCTGGCATTGTTCTGTTTTACATAGATTAACCCAGCCCATCGTCATGACAATTCCGTGTGGCGTGTACTGTGATTACCTCATGTTGCAGAGAAGGAAGTTGAGACACAGCTCAGAGGCACACACGATGAGGGGCAGGATGTGAACCCAGGCAATCTGACCTCAGAGTTCATGCTTATCCCCACTACGCCACGGAGCTTCACGAAGCTAGCAAGCTGGGCTCTGGGGAGGTTGAGCAAGTTGGTGTGGGCAAGAGGGGCAGGAAGGCAGAGCCAATCCTCACTCAGGTCCCCTGATCCAGGACTAGGCTCCTTCTCATGGCCCCTGTTTCTCAGCCAGCAAAATATGAAAACGTCTAGGAAAATTCTTTCTCCCCCAAATCTCTCGCATCCCCTTATGCTCTGAAAGCAAGCTCTTCTCTGCCAAACTTTCAGTGAAATGGATCGGTCCCTCACTGGTGGCCCTGGATGCTTTACACCGGGCTACGTGTCACTTGGCGCGCCTCTTGCCTTTATATTATCGCTTGTGTTAGGAAAGGAACATCAAAACTGAAATACTTAAAGAAAAAAAGTGGTGGAGGTCCATTTTTACTTGTGGGAGATCAATTTAACATTGAGTGTTAGAACAACTCCATTCACTGACCCATGTTCTCTGTTGTAGCATAGGTGGGATATTCTTTTCATAGACAGTGTGGCATATGTTACAAATCTTAGTAGCCCATATCACTAAGCTTTTTATAATCCAGGTCATCTCGTTGTGCTAAAATGGCATGCATCACATCCGCATTTAAAACGAAGTTACATCATAGCTAACGACATCATCATTACACATATACACACACTACACATGAGACGTCTTCAAAGAGTTCATAAATTACAGTTCCATTTCATTTTTCTACAGACTGAAGTCCCCTCATGTGGATGTGTACGTAGAATAGGGTAAACCAAAAGGTACTGCTATTCGAGTTCCAGTTTATACATGCACAAGTTTATTCCAATGAAATGTGTTTAAGCATATGACTGTGATCGGTGGGTGGCTGCAGACATGTTCTCTCAGCAATACAGCTAGTTGTCTGGTCGCACTAGGGTGCCTTTGAATACGGAAAGTCCAATCAAAACCGTGGTTTCTGAGGAGATCAGTTAGGCCATGAATTCAAGGTGTGGCGATCTGCTCAGTAGGTTATGGCTACTCTTTGGGGGACCCCAAAGGAGTCAACTTGATAAGTTTTCTCATAGGACACAGGGCAATCAAGGGGGCTTGTTAGGAAGCAGTTTTCAGAAAATTGGTGAGGAAAAGTCCGGAATCCTGCACCGAGCCATGTGCTTCCATCAGAACAAGAAGACGCAGCCGCTCATCCTCAGGGTAGACAGCCGCCGCCCCACAGCCATGCTTTTGCCCCTTCAAATGTCTTTTTTTGTCCCCCAGACTCAAAGAACAACGCGGTTTGAGACCTGCCTCCCGGCCGCATGGTGCAAAACTGCCATTTTAACGTGGTGGACGCCGACGAGCACGGAGTTCCTCAGGGGCGAATGCGAAGGGCTGAAACACCACGTGGAGGCACGAAAGGCCTAAGCGGCGGCTATGTTGAGAAGCAGTGCCTTCACATTTGATATTTTTGTTTCATAAAGTATTCTATGAGTTCATAGCAATGTTTTGTGACTTATTCAGATGGATAGGTAGGCAGACAGAAAGACAGACAGACAGATGGATGGACAGATAGAAGAGATTGCTCTGATCCATGAAGGATATGTCCCAAACCCCGCCCCCAGATGCCTAGAACTATGGCTAGCACAGAACTCTGTGCTGACTATTTTTTTCCCTGTGCAATTTTTTCCCATGAAAAAGTGTAATTTATAAAGTAGGCACAGGAAGAGATTAGCACCACCACTCATAGAAATAGAAAGCATGTTAAGTAAAAGAAGTGTTCGTTGAGCACAAGCGCTGCGACCGATCCTTGGCGGTCGCTTTGATGACGGGGGCTGCTCGGTGACTAAGGGACAGAGCGTGGCTGCCCTGGACAGAGGGATGATTCTCGTCCTGGGCAGGATGGCCCAGATGACAGGACAGTTTGTTGAGAAGGAACAATTTAAAACCCCCCAAACCAAACCAAACTCACTACCATCGGGTCCATTCTGATTTGTATGAATTGCTCATTTCTGGAATTCTCCATTTAATGTTCCGGACTGGCTAACAGAAACCGAAGACGGGGCAAGCACAGATGCAGGGTACCTATCTAGTGAGAATGGGTGGTGAAGTGGAGAACGGGCACCACAGGCTACCAGCGTTTAGGGTCCACCTATGCCCTCACCTGGCCCTGATGGCGAGACTTCATCTTACTTACTTTGCACACGACATTGGGAAACCCAGTCACTGGAGGGGGGCTTCATGGTCGGTCAAGCGGAAGGTCGGTGTAGTGCGGGAGGACTGACCCAGCGGCCCGAAGAGTGGATTTCAACACAGCAAGCACCACGAAGACGGCCCAGCACCACGCGGCCTTTTGCTCAGGATCGCATACCACTCGTGAGATCGTGTCATTATGAGGGGGAGCCGACCCCAAGGCAACGAAGCAGAGCCACGTCCAGTGTCTGTCCAGTTGGTGAGCTGCCAACAGTGCCAGGCATTGACTGACGGGGTGCGTCGTCCGTCCTCGGGAGTAACCGAGTTGCCCCGCTGTAAAGCAGAGCTGCCCCATTCAAAGGAGGAGGAAACCAGACCTGCGAGGTAAAGCCACCTTCTGGAAGCCACCCAACTAGCTCATGGCAGAGTCCGGGTTAGAGCCAGGCTTCCCTACTGGAAGCCTGAGCTGGACGAAGACAGACGGCGTGCCCTGGCTGGAGGGTCTGATCTAGAAATGAACTAGCCCGTCTAATCGAAGCAATTTTCTTCTCATCCCAGATGGGACCAGAAAAGCTCTAGGTTCTGCTTGAGATGTTTTTGTCGAGGAAGAAGAGTCTGTCGGAACGTTAGCTATAAAATAAAACTAATGATATTTCTTGATTGCTGTCTTTAAAAGTTCAGGCCAATATTGACAGCACATACACATTCTCTGTTTATTCCCCAAGATGGGATCTGAGGTTTAGAGGCAGCAAGCAACTTGCCCCAGACTGTGCAACTAATAAATGTGAGCCCCCACATCCAACCCCAGGTGCACAGCCTCCAAGCCAGTAGTTAGCCCGGGCACTCTGTCTTCCAGAGAGCAACACAGACTGACTTCAAAAGGGCCTCCTACGTGCATGGCAGGACCCAAGGCCTCCACGGACCGAAATCCTTAATTCAGGCAACTAATAAAGCAGGCCTCTCGACCCATTCCCAACCGTCCAGCCCCGACGCCCGCCCCAGGCTCCCGATTCTCTGAGACATAAATGGAGTACAGATGGTTTTCAGGAGAAGTTCTGAATTCATGAGGGGGAAAAAAAAGACCCAGATTCTTGCCATAAACCACAGCAAGGCTGCCCAGAGTGCAGCCCCACCCTGCTCGGTTTGGAAGCTGGAGTCGGAGCAGCCCCAGAAGGACTTGCATGGCCCTCCAGACGCCCTCGTTCTGAGTTGCAGGAAGATGTCCTTGCTCATGACAGCGTCTTGGGTTTCACATGTTGGTGTCAGATTTTCCTGGAGAGGGTGACGGCTGCTCGAGAGAAGAGGAAACCCTCCACTTGGCGTGGTGCGGACGGAACAAGACGAGAAAGAAGCCTTGGGCTCCCGCTCCTCCACGTGAAAGGAGAGGTGCTCGTCTTGCCCCACCACCAACGACCTCCCGAAGGGGTGATATTACCAGCTCTTTGAGCAGGAACAGCATCCCACAGACATCCCCACAAGGGTGGGAAGGTGGGCGACAGGGAGCCAGGCACTGACAACACTGCAGGGTAATGAGTTTCCAAACAGTGATGGTTATTTAATTGAGGAAGAGTTTCCCATGGAAAGTGGGGTACCTGCTGTACGAATATATGAGGCAACAGGGCAGGGTGCTCACTCATGGGATGCAGCGCACAACACCCAGCAGGAAACTAGGAGTCCAAAGTGCCTGGGCCTCAGCGACGCTGAGGTGTTATTCACTGTAACCGGGCCGTGGGGGGCTGGCGGGGGTGGGAAGAGGAAGATGAGGCTCACTGAGAAGCAGGATAAATGCGGCCTCACCTTGCCTTTTGAGAAAGACTCTTTGGGGTGTGTGCTGCTGCCTGTGAGCTGGATGGCTGGTCCCCTGGTCCTGGGGCTTCAGAGAGAGGCAGATATCCTAGAGCCTCTGCCTGTCTGCATTTGCATCCTCTCTCGGTAACCACATCCACCCCTGTGCCTTTAATTCTCAGCCCAGTACCAGGCACTCACATCTAGATGTGTGTTCCTGACCCAGACATCCCGGTCAATTCAGGGTGGCAGGGGCTGGACTCTCTTGTTTCATTGTGTGTGTGTGTGGCGGGGGTGGGGGTGGGCACAGGCAGGGGAGTTAATTCATGTTGACTATTGTACTAAATAGTTTATACCTATTATTCTCATTTAATTCTCTGAACCTAGGAGTTGACTAATGTCATGCTTTTTACAGGTGCCTAGAGGCTGTGAAGGAGCCCTGATGGCACAGTGGGTTAAGCATGGCGCCACAGTCAAAAAGTCAGAGGTTCAGACCC